TGATGTACTCTTCCTTAAATCTGGCCAAATCTATGGATTGTTAATTTGGATTTATAATTGTAGAACCTGATGAGAAAATATTGAAAAGAATATTCTTCTTTCATACAATCGTGTTTTAATATATATATATATGCATATATATATATATATATATATAACACAGAATTTTATGTTTGATTATCTTTTGTAATTAATCGTGACTTTATAACATCATTCTTAATTATTATTGCACAAATGTTTATATTAATATCCGGTTTCACTCTATATACTGTTGCATAAATCTTCATGTACTTATTCGAGTGCATTAAGGGTTTTTTATTTCACTTGGTTTACTTTAGAGGTCGATATTCATTACACAATTACTATTATTATCATGGTTGAACCCTTTCACTAGGTTTTTATTTCTTTTCTCTCTTTTTTCTATCTAAATAAATAGTATTCTTAAGATAACGAAGTTTGTAATTAAAACAATAACTTGTATTACGCTTAAATTAACTTCTCAAACTCGTGTTATCTTCACTGTGCATATATGACTCATACAACTTGATATCTCGTTATCCTTTTCACTTAATTGAGATTTTCATAACATCACTTCAAACTATTACTGCACAAACATTTATTTTAGCGTCATATCTTACTGCAATAATAAGTTATTTTTTCTCCCTTATTCACTATTTAAATTTTGTTACTAATTTGATGACACATACATAGTCGTTTATTCTTGTTTTGTGTTCATAAACACGCCTATTAAACTATTTACCTATGTCACGTCTCCTTTATTTCTGTTCCCTTATTTTAACCCATTTCTTCTTTAGACTCAATTCAATATTATTCTCAATTACACAGAATCTGATTTATTATTATTTTATTATTATTATTCTCTTCTTCAAATATGATAAATGTAATGCTAACATTATTGAAATTTGTGTATTATTGCATTTTTGAAGAAACCCAAAATGGTTTCTTCACAACACTTATGTACCCATAAGATGTTTGTGAACAATAATAATAATCATAATAATCTTAGAAATCATACGACCATTAAACAGCCCATGAGCATCTCCGTTGCACATGGTTCCTATAAATAACAGCAACGATTGGCGTCCAACTGGTGACTATCGGCGGCTGAGTGCAAAAACCATTCCCGATTGTCACCTCAATGCCTCACATTCACGATTTGACAGCTACCTTGAAAGGTACGACTGTTTTTTCGAAAATCGACTTGGTTAAAGCGTATAACCAAATTCCTATGGCCACTGACGATATTCCGAAAACCACTATCATGACTCCCTTCGGACTCTACGAATTTTTGCGAATGCCTTTCGGTCTAAGAAATGCGGCACAAATCTTCCGAAGGTTCATAGATGACGTTCTTCGGGGTCTCAACTTTGCACATGCGTATGTTGATGACTGCCTAATAGCACGTCCGGACAGAGAATCACATCTCCAGCATCTGGACCTTGTTTTCGACCGACTGCAAAACATGGCATTACTGCAAACATTCAGAAATGCCAAATCCGAACTGACTCCTTAGACTTCTTAGGACACATCATAGATGGGCATGGCGTTCGACCCCTTAGAACAATAGTGGCGGATATTCTAGATTACCCAGAACCGACCACCATCAAGCAATTGCGCACATTTAACAGTCTGGTAAGTTTCTATAGACGGTTCATACCAAAATGCGCGTCCCTTGGGAAACCTCTTACCGATCAACTTCGTGGAAATGCGAAATCAATCAATCTGGATGACACCGCGCGAACAGCCTTCTCCACGGTTAAGGAACTGATCGCTCAAGCAACCATGCTTGCTCATCAGGATACTGAAACGTCCATTAGTATCGCAGTAGACGCGTTCGACTCAGCAATCGGAGCAGTCTTACAACAATGGGTTAACTATTCCTGGGAACCTTTGGCATGTTCCTCTAGACGGTTGCTAGACACTGAATCGAGGTACAGCATATTCGGTAGGGAACTCCTAGATATGCATTGTGCTGTCCGACATTTTCAACACTATATCGAAGGCCGTGAATTCGCCATTTTACCGACCATAAACCTCTTAATTTCTCCTTAAGCTCTTCTTCAGACAAGTACTCACCACGTGAGTCTCGACAACTGGAGTACATTTCGCAGTTTACTTCGGGTATTCGACACATTTCTGGAGCAAACAATGTAGTCGCAGACGCCTTATCTCGAATATCTTCCTTGGACAGTTTCCAAGGAATTGACCTTCTAAAACTCGCCCAGCTTCAGAAAGAAGACACTGATCTTCAGCACTAATTATCGTGAACAAACCTTAAGCCGCACATCAAAAAGATGAAAACATATAAGGAAACCTTACTTTGTGACACATCTACAGATAGGGATCACCCAATCGTGCCGAAACATTATCGACGCAACGTAGTTAGAAGAAAATTCTATTCAAGTCGACTTTCCCTCAGTACAATCGCACGACACGACTCCTGCATTTATAATACCTCGACAGAAAGCCTACCAACGAGTTAGAGAACGCTTTCATCGACAACTAAAAGCGTCACTATCAGCCTCAAACATTTCTCAGTGGACTGACGCACTTCCACTCGTCTTACTAGGTATTCGCAATGCAGCGAAAGCTGACATTGGATGCACTGCGTCTCAACTCGTTTATGGTACGAACCTTCGACTTCCAGGAGAATTCGTGGATCCTTCATCCTCTTCGATGAACATGGATCTAACCTCCTACGCGAACAGGCTTACAAACGCAATGCGTTCAGTTAAACCTGTTTCCACTCAATCGCAATCAACTGATGTTTTCGTTCAACCTGACTTACGATGTAGTACAAACGCTTTTGTACGTCGAGACTCACATCAACAACCTCTCGAGCCAGTATACGAAGGACCTTTCAAAGTTATTCAACGCGAACCGGAGTACTATATAATCGATAAGAACGGAACCAACGATAGCACCAGCATCGATTGATTCAAAGCAGCGTATTTATAAGGAAATCCTATTCAGGTCGATTTTCCTTCAATACAATCGCACGACACAACTCCTGCCTTTATAATACCTCGATCGATAGCCGACACACACGTTGATACTTCGGCGATATCAGAAAATAAACTTAAAACAACGCGTTCTGGAAGAAGAGTAAGATTTCCATAACATTTGAACGATTACTGCACGTAAGATACAAGTTTACATTTAATATCGTCTTGATTTCCTCTTGTACCATATGTAATATTTTAGAAACACTGAATTTAATATGCTTGTATATTTTTATTTCCAAAAAGAAAACAAAACAATAAAACGATATCATAAAAATCTTTTTTCTTACGCCATTACGTGAGCATGAGTTTATTTTCCATTTTTTCGCTCGCTTTCTGTTTTTACGCGCGTACGAGTATATTTCGACATGCACTTACACATTTTTTACTTTTCCAGGACGGCTGAAAACGACGATAAAAAGAACCATGAAGTTTGCGAAAAACGGAAATCTTCATTGTACCATTTCTTTTTTACTGTATTGTACATCATGGTCCATTATAGTAAGGAAAGACGACCAGACGCTGCTTAACCTAGTAAGTTATCAGAAGGGTGTTCACCAACGAAAAACTCGTGGATTTTAAACTTCTGGCTGGCCACGTCTTAGGGTCATCACTACCACACTAAGGAGGAGTGATCTGTAGCGGTAAATAAATCCCCGAAATAAATAGATGAGGTCATGCACCTTGGCTTCTCAAATGCTTTCGATGCGGTCAATCATACATGTCTTATCAATAAGCCTAAGGATTATTTGTTGTGTCGTAGATCAAAAACCCTCCTAGATCTTTCTCAACTTGGGATACCTCTAGAGGGGAGTTGCTTAAGTTGTATTTGTAGCCTGCAATATGTCTAAGATGGATTACTTTACACTTTGAAGTGTCAAAGTTTAGTTCGTTGTCATCTGCCCAACTTTGAAGTCGGGTCAGATCCTCTTGGAGTAACAGTTTATTCTCTCGGTTACGCGCGTCTCTCCACAGTTTCATATCATCAGCGAAAAGGAAAATATCTGGCGATGCCAGTTCTGGAAGGTCGTCCATATAAATCGAGAGAGGAAGAGGTCATAGAACTGAGCCCTTGGGGACCCCACTAGGACATTTCATAACCTGAGGAAAATTAAAGTTAACCGTAACCTCAAAATGTTGACTTTTCAGATATGAAGTGAGCCAATCAATTAAGGGTGATTTGATGCTTAATTGTTTGAGCTTATTGATAAGACATGTATGATTGACCGCATCGAAAGCATTTGAGAAGCCAAGGTGCATGACCTCATCCTGCCCCTTGCGATCAAGGACGGTTGTCTGTCTGTCCACTGCAGTCAGCGGATTGGTTATACGAGAATTACCCCTCCTGAAACTATACTGTTGGAGTGAAAGGAAGTTGAATGACAGCAAGTATTCGTGTATACTGTCGCATATCAGGGACTCTATAACTTTTGAAGGCATAGAGAGAAGTGCTACCGGTGGGTAGCTAGGAGATCCGCTGTGTCGACCTTCTTTGAAAATTAGTGTGATGTATTCGTAGATCCACTTTAATCACCGTCGTCATTGTTATAACGCTTAATGTTTCCCATCTACACAAATGGAACGTTAATTTGTTTTGGACGAATATCTACACTAAGTACCTCCACAGAGTGTTCGCTACAGGAATTTAACACAACTCAGATAAAGGACACGTGACCAGCCTGATTGGAACGTAGTTATATTTCCACATCAAAAACCGACAACAACCACAATAATGATGGGGGCGAGAAGATATATAACTCATCCAATACCTGTTAGATTAACTACTAGTCTGACTATGCAAACAATCAATTTTTTGTTCACACACTCTTGAGTTTCCAAAATACAACGTGCTTGTTACTTAGTTTTCAAGGTTTTATTCTGCCTCCAGCACATACCACACTTTTAACAGTCATTCGGATAGCGATAACTGGGACCGCATGATATTTTTTATCCGGTTGTTGCATATAATCACCGCCCATGTGTAAGTAAAATAATTTTCATCGATATGTTTCACTGTTGGTAATAAATCTCTCTTTTGTTTACTCAGTGCATTCGACTGTCCATATAACGAACATTTTTTTGCAGTATGTTCCACTATAATTAACGGCAGCCTACTGATGTTGTAACTGGCAAATATTGTCAGCCACAACAGAAACCAAATGAAGTTTCCCGGCTTTTACGGTGCTTAATAAACATAAATGTTCATTCAGAGTGTTGGCAAATGTTATTTCAGTGGCAAGTGATAGGAATTTTTCTAAAGTCTACACCCATCCGGAGTAAGCTAACCAGCTCAACTTAGATGCTGAAGATGCCACAGGAATTCGGAGTTTGAAAACGCTTTGACCAGTAACACCTTCTAATATGGGGCGCAACCACCAAGTGAAATCAAAAGACAGAAGCGAGGAGATCGAAGATATATTTGATAAGCTATCAATATATCGAGGATCGTCTGATCTAATGTGGCTAGCGATTGCAGCAGATGTTGAGCACGGCGTTCCCACACGTGATCTGGTGCGAATGCTTGACCGAGCGCCTTCAGCTGGATGAGTCAACTAAAACTGTTGTCAGCATCCAATGTCTAAAACTTACAGATCTATTTATTTCGGGGATTTATTTACCGCTACAGTTGGAATATTCTTGTGGACTAAGGACAGTATCTTACTGTAATTTCCAAATTTTTGTTAATTTTCCCGCCTTTATCGTTATTATACATAGGTTTCTACCTGGAGGTAATGATGATCCATTGCTACTAGATACGAAACCCGTTAAGCAAAAGCTTCTTCTGTTTCGTCCAAAACCATTTGATCCGTGTGACCCATTTGACCCTGAAACATTACAATTTCAGAAGGTTAGTTAGTTGTATGTACAAACGGGACAGAGTGGTCGCATGAGTTTGTCTACTGAACATAATAGTGCTACTAATATTGAGCAAGAAAATCAGCTTGATAAAGTGATACTTTTGCTTAAAGCTGCAGGAAATGCTCCTGTAATGAAAAAGATGAAGTGGTCTGTAAGCAGGAAGCAGAAAATTCATTGGGTAGTGGATTTTATAAGAAAATATATATCATGTGCTCCTTCTGAATCTTTATTTCTCTACGTAAATCAGTGTTTCGCACCGGCCATGGATGCTGAGATAGGTTCATTGTATGACTGTTTCAGTGTAGAAGGAAAACTAATTTTACATTACTGCAAAACTCAGGCGTGGGGATGAAAATATATTTTCTGTTTATGCTTATACTTTAACTCATACTTTTATTTCCTTTTTTAGTTTGATGCAGGTCCGGCAAGTAAAAGTAGATGGTTTGTTCCTAGTTTTCGACTAACATTTTTTGCCAGTTGGTAATTTAATCTGTTACTTTATTGAATCTGTGATTCATTTGTATTTATACGAAAGAAATGTTTACCCCCGTGCTTCTTTTACTGACTTTGTCGCTTTCGGCCTGCATCTAAAGGTAATCTATTGCAATTTCTTGTAACTTCATCGATATAATATAATTACTAGAGATGAAGAACAAAAGCATGTATGTGCTAAAGTAGTATTTTCTTTGATTTTCTGTGTCACTGAACTGCTTTGGACGCCTAACGCTGGTGATATGTTTAAAGATGTAGCATTCAGCAAATCATATGGTATGTCCTGACGTGGCTGTTTTATTTCCGTCCATTAGGTGGTAGAGAATGTAATCTTATTTAGTATTGTTAAACTGTGACAAATTTCGATTGCTTCATGTCATGTGTGTCAGTCTTGCGTGTGATAATCGGACAATATTGTGAGGGCTTAAACAGGGAAATAAGATTATGGTATGTAATTAAGCCTATAAGTAGCATTTCACAATTACGTAATGTCATATAACATAGGCATTCCATTATTCTAGAGAAATTGGACATTAATATCCCCTAAGGACTATAATCGAGATTTTTCTGTAAGTCTTGCAAAATAAACCTACCTAGCATCTTTTCAATACACTGAAAGCCAAATTTAGAAAGATGACGTTACTTTCATTTTACAGCGTTCGATGGCGTTTTTATAGGCAAGTAGTCCAGCTTTATTTAGGTACCCCGATTAGGACAAGAAAAATGCATCCCAAGTTTCATTTTAATTTACTGGTGTTATTATGCTTAATAATTTAAGTAAAACGCCTCTCTATGCATGAAGTATATCTGGTGGCCATAAAGTTTCCTAAAATGTTAATGAATTCCTAGAACTGTAAGACTTTCTGTATTGCCATTAAGTATATGTTTTTTGTGCTCAACACATCGATACATAGGTAATCTTTAACACTTCTTAGTTTAAGCCATATAACCGGGTATTATTATTAAACAGTAGACTGAAAACTCTTGGTTCAAAATCGATTTTATAAATTTTAACATGACAAATGAGTCATATCTTTTTTGAATCACCTTCCTAAGTAATAATTCTAATGATGTAAATAAGCTTAATATACTCAGTTGCCTTATTTTTATGAGCCTTGATATCTCTTCCAACACTTGCGTTCTCTCAACCACCCGATAGTCATACTAATCCTACTTCACCGTAGTTTTCCTTAGATTTCTGCGTATCTACTGATAATGATCTAAATCCTTTTCGAACTGCACTTCCAACTAATATATAGGGTTTTCTCCATTCATGCTTATCAAACTAATCATTAACAAACAGATAGGAAGGTTGAAGTTTCACATTGACTTAAACTTTCTGGGTTGTGCATGTACGTCATACCATTTAGCTTCCCTCGGTTGACTCCAGTTAAATGACTTTGATGAATGGAATATAATTCCTCACATTATTTCATATACAATACATATATTGTACCAAAATATAATAATGAGTAAAGCCGTTAATAATAATAAGTTATAATGAGAATCAGTGGTAATAAACGGCCATATATTCGCCATTCGTCAAGTTTTAGAACACAGGTATGTTAATAGGCGTCCGGTAATGATATTTTTCCTTGACTTAAAAGCAGAATTTGACTCTGTAGACCGAGAGGTTCTATGGCAGTGTCTGTCATCAAAAGGTGTACCTCAGAAGTACATACACCTTGTGAAGGCTCTATACTCAAACACTACTAGTCGAGTCAGAGTTTATGACGAACTGATATTGCATCATTAAATGGTGTTCGACACGGCTGTCCATTATCTCTGTGTTTGTTCATAGACATAGTGATGGAAATGACGTTCTCGTCGACTGAATTTTCGGGAATCGATCTCCTACCAGGAGGTCCACTTATCGATTACAATACGCAGATGACATAGTCCTGTTTGGTGAAGACGCTGATGAAATGCAGAGTCGTTTGGTAGCACTGAGAAACAATGCCAGAATGTTTGGGATGCGCTTCTCTCCCTCCAAATGCAAACTGTTGCTTCAGGACTGGTCTGCGTCAACACCTGAACTGAGGATAGGGGGTGAAGTAGTCGAACACGTTGACAACTTCACTTATCTTAGAAGTCTGATCAGCCCTAATGGGTTGGTGTCTGACGAAATCTCAGCACGGATTCGAAAAGCTCGTTTGGCTTTCGCCAACTTACGTTACCTATGGCGCAGGCGAGATATCCGTCTATCAATTAAGGGATGAGTATACTGCACAGCAGTTCGTTCTGTTTTACTTTATGGCTGCTAAGCATGACCATTAAGAGTAGAAGATAGTCTTAAGTTGCAAGTATTCGACCATAGATGCCTTAGAAATATTGCCAGCACTTGATGGGATCACGGGGTAAGTAATAGTGAGGTTAGACACAGAGTACTAGGGAATGATGGTAAATCAGTTGATGTGGTTGTGAATCTTCACCGACTGAGATGGTTGGGCCACGTGTTGCGTATGCCTGAACACTGATTACCATGACGCGCAATGCTGATTTGTTTTGGGGATTTTTGAATAAATGTTAGGGGTGGCCAGATTTGGATCAGTCATTCAAAGTCTCTAACGATTGCTTACGATGATCACACAGACCCCAACCATGTGGTTTAAACCCATTAACGTGACTCAGTCCAATTGTCAATGACTTTATATACAGATGGCATGTTCTGGTATGGTCGCCTCTAACTCAGCCTACTAGTACACCACACAACATCTCCCGTCAAGGTTGGTGGTGGTTGGGCATTCGTAACACACGTACCAACCACCTCATCAGTCAATTTGCCATCCTACTCCGTGGTTCCAAAATACGCGAGGAATGCTTCGAACACCTATGATCGAATTTCAGTAACCTACGAACACTATTCTTAATGTCTATATTTCACATTCATAAAGTAGAACTGAGCAAACTCCTGCACAATAAACCTACCCTTTGGTTGAAAGACGGATATCTCGCTCACGCTACAAATGGCTCAAGTTGACGAAAGCCAGTTGAGCCTTCCATGACTCCATCAAACACTAGACCATCAAGACTGATCAGATCTCCAAGATAGGTGAAGCAGTTCATACGTTTAACTGCTTCACTCCCTACCACTAATTCAGGCGTTCACAAGGGCCAAACCTGAAGTAAAATCGTGGATTTGAAGGGAGAAAACCGCATCCCAAAAGTGCTTGGATTGTTAATTAAGATGGTCAGAACACTATTTTGTCAGCGTCTTCACCAAACAGAACTATAAAATCCTCGTATTCCAAGTTAACAAGTACATCTGGTAGCAGGACAATATCAGAAAGCTAGATGGCAGAAATGTGATTTCTAAAAGAATGTTTATAAAAAAGTTAAATAAAAACGGGAAAGCGGCAACCCTGACGAACATTACTAAAAGAAACCGATGCTGATGGTTGTTCGTCATAAGCTCTGACTCGACCGGTTGTGTTCGAGTAGAGGGTCTACAAGGTTAGTGTAGTTCGTTGGTACGCCTTTCAGCGACACATGACCACAGAACCACACCATCATCAGAGTTGAGTGCTTCTTTAAGGTCAGGGGATGCAACCATATTTGGGCGGTGAGAAGTATGCTTATTTTTCAGCACCTGTCGAAGGGTGAGTATTTGGTCCAAACATTCACGAACAGGTCTGAAAACAGCCTGGTTCTCTCCGATTTGTAATTAACGAGCTCTAGTTAGACGTCGAAGCATTATTCAAGTTAATATTTTAGACACTATATTAGTCAAATTGATTCCTCTATAAATATTTCAATAGTATTTTTATCCCATCTGATATACGAACAGTCATCTACCGAGACCATTCTGATGAGATTACTAACAGTTCCCAGATTCTAGTTATTATCTCAGTCAATCAAACTTCTAAAACTGGGATACCATCCATAAAAATCTCATAAGTCAATTCACTAGGCCGTTCTGCTGTCCGTCGCTTCAGATTGTCTATAGCTTTAACAACCTCATGAAGAGTTTGTAGACTTACATCATTTCGTTACTCATATTATTTGGAGATGATAGTTGACAGATATGTGACTGGAGGACATTTGAACTGCTATCTAAAGTGTTCTGCCATTCGGTACAATCTCATGAATTAAAAGTGAATAGCAATCCCATCATTTTTGGAAATACTTCCACTAACAATCAGATTTTTAATATCTGTTTACTTGGTCGTTCTGAATAATTGTCTGCTATTACCTATCCTCGCTTCCTTTGGTGGTTTACACGTCAGCTGTCTGGTATTTCAGTGAATAGTTCAGATGGGTATAAGGATATGAATAAGCATTACCTGTAGTGAAAGTACATCTTCAGCTTTCACTAACAGCTTCAAATTTTCATTGAATTTTTTTTTTTTTTTGGAAATTAATTTAAATGTGCAACTTAGGCAAGGTATAAAACTTTATACTCTAACTCCATGGAATGAATTCAATGTCTCTAATTTTTAATGGAGCTCAGTAACTACGTAAAGCATAATGTACTGGGTTTTTAGCTACACTTTTTATATTGGATGTAGTGATAATAAGTGATTGCCAAAACCAAAATAATTAGAGGAGTTCAATCACCAATCTCAGTAGTCGGTGTTTAATATGTTATCTACCACTTATACAATACTCAGTGTACCATGTCTAAGTAAGATGTGCTTGCGTACGTCCAATATGCCTCGATTAATGAACATGTTAAAAATACCTGTAGGACTATTCAGTGTAGTTCGCTTACTTTTCGTTAATTCTTTCTCAATTTAATGTTGATTAGTGTGGCAATGTGAACTATAAAGGTAAAGGCTTTTCTTCCTGTGTATGACTATTTATTCCTGACCGTTGTTGCTACCTTGACGTGGTGGTCGGGCTTGCCTATCGTGATGAAGCAACTGAGCTATACTGGCTGGAACAACCGTTCCTCAAGTTCCTACCATGCCAGACAGGTCCGTTGAAGAGCGGTAAGACTAAAAGCAACAAAACCAAGGTCCGAAGGCGAAGTCGTACTGCTGACTGTACAGAGGTGTGACAGCAGTAAGGTGTTTCCTTCAGACAACCAGCATGACAGCGATGCTGCCTTCCCACAAGGAGGGGTGGGGTTAGAAAAGGTCCACCCTAAAAATGCACACCT